CCCCTCCCCCCTCCCCTCCTCTGTGTTCTTTCTTTCTGTCAGGAGCGGTCGTCAGCGTTGGAGCGCGCGAGCACCCGCCGCACCACCTCCTACCGCCGGCTGCCATCCGACCTGCTGGACAAGGCCGGCGGGCCCGTATTAGCTGACCGTGTGTCGTCCCACCCATGCCCCACCAGCATGGACGCGCCACCATACGTGGGCGGAAACGGCCTCCAGGTGAGGGCCTTGGGCGGCCATCCCGACCGGCCCCCGCGTGTTGGGGGTCATCGTGCGACGCCCAGGGAGGGCAGGCGGGGCGGGGGAGAGGGAGAGGGAGACGATCGCAATAGACTCCATTCTCTGCTGTCTGAGGTGGGTACGGACACGTGAAAATGCTGGTGTGGGGTGGTGGAACCATGCCATGAGTTGAGTTGGTCCTGTGTTTGTGCGTTGTGTGTTGTGTGCAGCACTATGACAAGGACACCTTGGAGAAGTAAGTTGGAGGGCGGAGGGAAAAGGAAATGAAAGGACTTACACGCCTTAAGGCCTTCGTGGAAGCTTTTTGGTTTCTGACAGGTTGATGATGGAGCGTGAGACTGCAGAGGATGTCCGCCAGGTCCGCCGCGAATAGAAAAAAGACCCCCCCATATCCCACATCCCAGCCACCCATTCACTTTTCCCTTTCTCCATTCCTCAGACCATCCAGGCCCTCGAGCGGATGCACCAGACCACCACCACCACCACACACGAGCCTGACGGCTCCATCATCAGCCTGAGACCGCAATACGACAACCCCTTCTCAGTCCACCCACCCCACCTGCCACCCAAACCACCCAAGACGCAGATTCAGACGCAGCAGCAGCAGCAGCAGCACCAGCACGGCACGCGCACATCCCTGCCGCAGTCGCCCCCAGTAGACCAAGACGAAGAGGATGCGCACCCGCCACCAGTCATCCCCTTCCGACCTCGCGAGTCCGTGAATGGTGCTACTGGTGTTGGTGGGAGTGTGTTGGCGGAGGGGAGTGTGGGAAATGGCATGGTGGTGCCGCCCAGCAACATCCCGAGGAAGGTGCCCAAGGGCGGGGTCAACCAGATGTCGACCATCCGCCGCAACGGGTCGCCCACGTCGGCCATTCCCCCCTGCAAGAGGGCCACTGCGACCACCGCACGGCCGCTCAAAGGCATCCCCGGACAGCCACAGCCACACCAGCAGCAGCAGCAGCAGCAGCAACAGACGAACGGTGCGGCTGCAGGGGCGCCATCCATTTTGTCAGAACAGCATCCTCCGGTTACCGTCACTGCCAAGGCCGACAGCGCCATCGCTGGGTCGCGGACGCCGCCCTTCGTTCCCATGTCGATGCACCCCAACAAGCGAGACATGGAGAGAGGCACCCGCCCCGCAATCTTCTACTCGCCCGGGGGCAAGGTGCTCCAGCCACACGGCCAGTCGGCAGAGCTGGGGCCGAAGGAGCGGGGACCTCTGGCCAACCTCGTGCTGCCGCCCTCCGTCTTTCCCCCTGACCAGACCAGCAATGGTGAGGTGACGGACGTGGCCCCCGCTCAGCGCGTCGACCTCTCCAAGGCGCTCACAGAGCGAGACACACACACCCAAGCGCAGCCCCAGCAGCTGTCGCCAGTGAAGGAGGGCGCCACGATTCGCGAGAGCAAGACGGCCAAGAAGGAGAGGGAGGGGTGGCGCGGCCGGCCGGCGTCATCTCGCGACGTGCTGGAGGGGGCAAGAGTGGGTGTGGGTGTGGGTGTGGGTGTGGGCGGGGGTGATAGTCGGCTGTCGGGTGTAGCTACTACAGCTGAGGAGACCGGTGCTGGTGTTGGTGTTGGTGGTGTAGCTGGTGTGTGTGAGAGGGCTCACGTGGACTACAACGTGATAGAGCCGCATGAGAGGGGTGTGGAGCAGCGGTATGTGAGCACGCAGCACGAGACCCTGGAGCCGCGCAACCCGCCTCTGCATGACAAGGGTCAGCCAGCCACATTATATAATGGGGCCCTCTCCTTTGTGCCTGCAGGACCTCTTGCTTGTGTTGTTCTGTGGCTGTCTGTCTGTCTGCCGTCTGTCAGAGCGTGTCAAGAAGATCTGTGACAGCGTCGACTGGCATGTGCAGGCGCAATCCTTCCTTATGAAGTAAGTGAGGGCCACACACACATACACACACACATGCACACCAGAGAGGCGGACCAGTGATCCCCTCATGTGTGTGTGTATGTGTCTATGTCTGTGTGTGTGTGTGCAGGAACAGGTATTCGGTCGTCTGGAAGGCGGCGCAGCAGCAACGCGCAATGGGCCACTCGGCGTTGCCGCCCACCGCCGAATCGCATCAGCCCGCGCGGGCCAGCGAGGTGCTGGGCGGCAGTCCTCACACCGGTCCCATGCAGGGGCCGTTTCCGCCCTTCTTCCAGCTGCAGCAATCTCTCTCTTCGCAGATGCCCCTGCCAAAGACCACGTCCGTCGCTGCTGGTGATGAAACGACACGCAAGAGCACACCAACTGCAAGTTTTGGGTACATCTGTCTGTGTCGTGTCTGCAGGTCAGACGACGCTCGGTAGCAGCCCCAACCGCCCCCACCCCTCTCAGTCGCACATCAACCGTAGCCCCGTCCTGACCGCCTCGCGCCAACACGTCTTTAACCTGCCGCCGTTCCCTCCCTCAGCCAGGCCACGCACCCCGCCATTCTTCCCTGGCACCAGCGCCGCTCGGCAGTCGCACTCACCCCCACCGGCGCCATCGACGCGACACAGGGGCGACAAGCAGGGGCGCACCCAGGTGGTGACGCTGAGTCTGAGTGAGCGCGAGAACGACCTCCCGAAGAGTGAGAGCTTCCATGTCAAGATGCGCAGCAGCGAGGGGGAGCGGTGAGGGAGGGTGTGGCGGCAGTGGATGTGTGCATGGGGTCGGGGTGTGTGTGGGTGGTTGATGTCTGTATGGGTGTGGAGTTTAATCTGCCGCTGCTGCATGGAATTGAAGGGATGGATGGATGGATCGTTGGATGGATTTGTTGCTGCCTGAGTGACTTTTTGCTGGCTGGCCAGTAGGAGGGAGGGACGTACCCACGACTGTGTTGACGACCGATAGATAGATACCTTCTCGGTCGGTCGGTCGGACAGACTCACTCACCGAGAAGGAAGAGACACACACACACACATCAGCGGCTGGCTGCACAATTCGCTGAATGAAGCTGCAACGCAACGCAGCGCTCCACCATACACACTGTCGACACTAATCAACACACAACACATATGACACGCAGATGTCACATGACATCACATCACACGTACCAGTGACATTGTGAGCCAATAGCTCAGCCCGTCTGTCTGTCTGTCTGTGTGTCAGCCTCCTCGTCCGTACTACCCCAGGAGCCTCGTCAGGGCCTCCAGCACACTCTGGGGCACCTCCATGCGATACTCTTCCTGAGCCCGAAGCAGCAGCGCATGCGCCTCTCGAGCCGCATCGCGCGTGTCGTCCAGCAGTATCTGACACCAAACAGACACACACAGAAAGGGCTCGCTCCATGGCCATGTGGTGTCTGCGTTGTGTGTCTGCGGGCTGGTGTGTGCCGGCCGCCCCGGCCGACCAGTGCCTGTTGTGCCTGCTCGAAGTCGTGGAAGAAGGAGTCGGACTCGTACTCCTCTAACTGAGACTCTAACCTGTCCCTCTCGTCCTTGAGTGAGAGGTAGGCCTCGCGCAGCTCCTCGTGCTCCAACGACGCCTCCTGATACTCAGCCAGAACCCTGTCCGTTTGCTAAACACGCGCATCGCATCAAACAACAGACAGACCAGACAACCACCGATCGTCGATGCCACCCATCCACAACCATCGGCGCGTGTGGGTCGGCCCGGGGCCCACCTCTTCCAAGGCTCTGCCGTCGCTGATGGTCTTGTTGAGCCTGTCGATCTCATCCAACAGCTCCCTCTCCCTATCGCTCCCAGACGTCTCAGCTGGCACTGCTGCTGGTGCAGGAGGGCGGGGCCGCAGGAATTCCTTGTCACGCCTCTCGTTCTCGAGCTGGCGG